TGAGAAATCAATACCTTTGTAGATTCCTCTTTGCATAAGCAAAGGCTAATCACCCAAAGAGAGGGCCTTCATTCCTTGCATCTTAGATCCATGGATTTGGATGGATGAAAAAGTTTCTCCAAATTCCCAAAATTGAGAACCTCTAATGATTCATCACCAAGGCATAATGAAGAAGAAATGAGTGACCTTGGAGGAGTTTGATTGCTAGATGATCCCTCCAAGGTGGCCTAAATTTTAGAGAGAAAGGAGAGCTTGTGTTCTCATCCTTTCCCCAAAAATTACCATATGTAAATTTTAGGCTATAAAGTCCTTTATATAGTCCCTTCAAATAAGTGACCTAATGGACCAAAAGCCCTATTCTTCTAACATGGCAAGCCTATAGGGTTTATTGGGCTTTCAAGCCCTTTGTTTATTCAAGTTGTCATACAACTTGAGTTAATGGGCTTGACATTCAAATCCCATTGGGCCTTGCGGCCCAAAACTAACCCGAGGTCTTTAACGAACTTATTCGTTTGATTAATTAACATATTAATTAATCCTAGCCTTAGATAAATAATTAAACCATTTAATTATTCTTACTCATCTCCGTTGTTTCTTCAAACTCTACCTTACTCGGTGAACGATCCATTAGGTTCCTTTTAGCGAGGCAGTGGGCGATTAAAACTCTTTCTAATCGATTGTGAATTGAAACTTACTTTCAATTCTCCCGTTAGTGATAATACACTTTTAGGGCTTCCACAAACCATGGTTGACGCCTAGCAGCATGTCATGGTTACCCAAGCTAATCAGAAGAGGTGGAGAACCTATTCAGTTTTAGGATTACAAATGCAATACGGTCTTTCTCTAATACAATACTCTTGACCACATTGTTTGGTTTGATAGTTTATTCATGTCTACTATCCAATGTGAGTCTTGTGCTTATATGATTACCTTGAATGTGATTTGGAACACATTCCTAAATCTCATTCATACTTTGGCCAAAGATTCTTAATCATATCATAGAGTATTCTCCCTCAAACAGTTTGAAGGTTAGAGATCCCTTGTTGCGCATTCACTTGCCTCCATGGCTAAGTGGCTTAACCCCAACGATGCCATGGACACCCTCCTGATGGAGTGACTTTGACATAATCAAAGATTAAGGACCTAACCACAAGACAACTGTGATGCCTCAGGTCAAAAGACTAATTTGCATTATCCCAACCATGAGTTCTCATGTGACATGAATATGAGAACTCTTCGTTGATCGTGTTCAGTGAACTCATTCTCTATTGAGCACCTACGTACTTGTCTTGATGTCACACACACCAATGACTCGAGACTAGTCACTCTCCCGGAGAGAAGACATAGCACGTACTGATCTTAACGGACTGTCAATGCCCAATTGACAATCCTATGATCAGGAACGTTTAGGATGTGTCAACGAAAGAATGGTCTCATGAATCTAACTTCTTTAGATCGCATTCTTCCAATCACATATTCCTTGGACTTATCGTTTAAGCATATAACATTTATATGAGACGGCTCAAACAATAATCTTTGCCCTTTACATTTAAACTACATTAGTTTGAAATGTCCGTAAAGTATCATCATATGATTGGTTTTAGGGCACATTTCCAACATTCACCTCCTTCACCGCACGCTATCCTTGGATCCAACTAGATGCTAGCCTATCATACAAACTGCATTGGGCACTTCCGACTCGTAGGTGACTCGCGCATAGCTTCATGTGATCATAGCACTAGAGTGTTATTTATTACACCTAGCATGTTGTATAGGTTACAGTAGGTGACTCCGACTCGTGTGTTAGCATATGACTGATGAGCCATATGTGCAGTCGTACAGGTCACATCAAGTGACTTCGACTGACATGTTAGTAAAGATTTTTGAGCACATGATCATATCTATATTGCTGTTGAGCTTTTCTGCTGTGACATATTTCTGGACTTACTTTTAACATGCATTTGATTTTCACACTTATACGTAGTATGATATTTTGGAAACTATACGGATTTTACGATGATGGATTATAATGCTTTCAAAGGTTTTTATTAAAACTTTATTTTCAGGCTCACTCACCCTTGTTTTTTTCGCCCCTCCAGGTTTTAGATGTTGAACGATTGTATCGTCGAGGATTCTTAGTGAATCTCAGTATTGATGGCTACTTCTGAGAGTATAATCCTTATCCACTCTATTGTACTTTACTTATGCTTTGACGTCACGTGTGAAATGAGTTCATTCTCACTCACTAGCGTACTCTTATATTTAGGTACTTTTAGGTTTAAATTTATCTACATTTTCCACATCACTACACTTTATGGCTTCGTCACCTTCTAGATGTTGGCCAGCACAGTTCAATTCAAAGTTCTAGTGGACATATCGGTCGGGGTGTGTCAAGTGGACTACGATGGCGATGTCATCGCTGTTTTTTTTTTTTTTTTTTTTTAAGAATAAAAATATAAATTAATGACACCAATTTATAAGTGAAATGATATAGCAATTGCCACATTCTGCAGCGCACATTTGCTTAATCTCTTGACACAAATGCATTTCTCAATTGATTAGAGAAGCAAGCAATGATAAAAACTCACTTCAACAACTCATTCCGTCAGCCACATGCTACGGTCCACGTGGAGAGAAACCAAAGGAAAATTGTAGGGCGACCAAATAATTGGAACCCTTCGAGCGTGGGACGATCCACCGTCCATTCCCCACCTCCACAATCGTGACCGTTCCAAGAACATAGTGCAAGCAAAATTATGTCTCTTTCCACAGCCACTTGCCACGTAGCACGTGTGGTAATCGATGTGTTGCGCTGGTAGTTCCTTTCAGGCACACGTGCAACGGGCACAAAAGGATGGAGCTGCCCGTGGGATACGGTCAGTGGTCGTGGGCCCGGGAGACAAGGACCTTGGAAGTAGAGCCAGCATGATCTGAGTCAGGTGGGTCCCGCAGCTTCGAAGTTTTGGTGGGTGCGGGTCCCCTCCGAGTCACCTCCACGGTGTGGTCTTAATTCTGTTGTTGATTTCCTATGGGCTTTTGGGGCCCAGTGATGCTCCAAATTGCTAGTGGTCCAGGGGTGGTGCCATTGTAATTAAGGAAGAATACAAAAACAATTTCGAAAGAGGATAAAATATTGGATTGTTTTGACATTATTGCCCCAAAGCTTCTACAAATCCTTTTATAACCCACAATTTCTTTTCATTTTTCTTTTCTTGGAGTCTTTACTTTTGCAATTAGAATTTAGAACTTACCTAGAGGTTATATAACAAATGAGTTGCCAAAAAATTTCATGATATGCAATAGTAATAAGTTTGTTTTGTACGCACAAAAACCCGATTTGTCTCTTGAATGATTATCTAAGTGAAATTTAACTTTATAAACTAGTTTTTTCTTCAAAAAAAAATTAAAAAAATGTTTTTAGGGTAGTTTGGTAGTCGTTCCATCTAGTTATTAGTCAAATTTAAGTTAGTTTATTTGCATTTGCAATGTTTTAGAGGATCTCTACCTTGAATTCTTAAATTAAGTTTGATTAGACCTACACTTTACATGCCTAATCAATAAATTAAAGCAATTTTTAGTAAGATGAAACATAAAACATGAGACGAAGCACATGAGACACCTCCTGTACAAGTAAAGAAAAGTACCAATGATGGTAGCATCTCCAATAGATTAGACTTTGCTTGGGAGCTAGATACCATATCATATCTACACTTTAAGCTCACATGCACCGTCAATAGTTAATTCTAAAGCATACCTAGAAACAAAGAAACAAAAGATTCCAACATATTTCCCCAACTCGTGTCCCTTAATACATTGAACTTTTAAATTAATCGTATCTTCTCATTAGTAATAAACCTTGTTAGTCAAATGAGGAACACACAAACACAAGAACCATTAGTAAAATAGCAATGAGTATTAATCTTAGCAAACACAAAAGGAAATGGTACTAATAGACTAATTAACGGTCATTTAGTATTACAGTCTAGTAGTATTCTCTTCACTTATAAGTGAAAAATCTTAAGTTCAATTTTGACCAAAGGTGTATTTGAATCCTATTATTGCTAGCCCACTGTGAGGCACTAAAACTTAGCACACTTTCTAACCCTGTTAGTTAGATAATATCGTTTATTAAAAGTAAAGAAAAATACACTAATTAACCTCCTCCGTTACGATGATCTTGGGGAAGGTAACCTCCAATCCAATTAGAAGGAATACAAAAGTTTACGGATGCACTAAAAATACCCAACATAAAAGGGACCAAATGCTAAAACAGAAAAAAACTAATGTGGCAAAAAGTAAATAAAAGAAAAAGTGGTTTTAAGAAACTGAGGCTGGTGCATGCACTGCAGCCAATAGATTGAAACCCATGGAATCTCGAAACCACCATCCACTGTTTTCTTTTTAATCAGTGAGCAAAATTCCAATGCTTCTCAGTCCACAATACCTCTCATCCTCCCCATTGTTTAAAATATTAATATCTATACGTAAATTTATAAAAATATCGACAAATATATTGAATATCATATTGATATCGGTTATTTTCAATGAAAAAAAAATAAAATGAAACTTTAAAAATTGTCGAATATTGGTTTGGAAGAAATATAAAAATTATTTAATATTTAACACGTGTAAAAAATATCAACAATATTTATCGATTTTAGTTTACACATAAGAGTTTCACCCCTATTTCCATAACTTTGTCTTATTTTTTGAATATTTCTAAGAAAATATCGAAGAAATCTAAAACATAGATCTCCCAATCAATATCAACGGTTGATTTTACATAACACTCTAGAAGTTGACTCAATCAAAGAACTTGATTGGTTTACACAATTTGTTCACATAGGCCCATAAAGCAGCTTATTCCCCCAAGTCCACTGGAACAAGTCTTTATATAGGCCAGCAGATGTCACCCAAATTCGTCTCCCCCACTCATCACCTTCTTGTTATTGGCACCAAAGTTTGCAGCAAGCTCCAAATTTGTAGCAAATTAGCATCCAGTCCGAGTCCAACAATATTTTCTTCCTCTCAGCTCCTCTAATTTTACTTTTTGAAGCATGAGGACTGGTATGTTCTCCTACACCACATATGAAGATCAAACAAATGAGCCTCACTTCCTTGATGCCTGTCATCTTTGTAGAAAACCACTTGGAAACAACTCAGACATCTTCATGTACAGGTAAATTTATAACCTAGCAGTTCGCTAGAGCAGTGTGCTCGTTACATTGCAGTATTCACCACTAGGTTAAATTAGAAAAGTTTAGAATATCGATCCGTCGGTTTTTGTTTACGTGAAGTTTGATTTGCCATGTTCTGATGAGGATTTTGATTTTTATATTTTTCAGGGGTAACACACCATTTTGCAGTAGAGATTGTAGGCAAGAAGAGATAAAGTTCGATGAGAACAAGGAGAAGAGCTGGAAGGTTACTTCCAGCAGAAGAAAGTCGGATCCCAACAAGAACTCCACCCCCAACAAAAATGTACGGACGGGATCTGTTGCTGTAGCCTGATTGATCTGAGACTGTAGAGATTGTTGGTGGAGATTGTTATTAAGCTTACAGATCATGGTGGATGTGATCAATATGTAAGGTAGTGGGGAAGGATGAGAGGATGATGGCCGATCGGATAGGATGTCAGGATTCAAATCCCAAGGAAAAGAAGGTAAATAGGAAACTGTGGCCAATTGGATAACATAAAATTAAGGAGAAGAAATCAAGAAAAACCCACCAGAAGAATTTTGTTTTTTGTTGTGGTTGATGTTTGCAAGTCAAAGAGCATCCTGTTAAGGGAAGGTTAATTTGTAAAGTTTTGTTAGTGATCGATCATCTTTGATTACTTCTCAAAGGATGTTAAGACATTGAAAAGTTTATTCAAAGAGATTTTCGTATGATTTTTGTTTTGTATGTTTGTATACAAATTATATTCTGCACTAATTTTCGGTTAAAAAAATTAAAGAGTTCGAAAACAAGAAGTAGTTGAAATACTAAAATTACTATTTTAATTATGAGGTTAATTCGTAAAAAAATTAATGAAAATAACTTTAAAATTTTGAATTCTAACGATAAAGATAAAATAAAAGGTAATTTGAATAGTATCATGATTACTTTTTTAATATAAAAATATGATTTTTCGTTAAAGTAAATAGTACTGAAAATTTTCCGTTAAAATTTTATCATTTTTGTCATTTTTTTTAAATTTTTTATTTTGATGTGAAGTGTCTAATTATGTAACTTTTCCTGCCAAAAGAAAAAAAAAAACGGAAATAGAGAACGAAGGAATGAGTAGGCCTTACCAGCTTTCATCTCTGCGAAAGCATGGATGTCATACCTATCAAAAAAAGAAGGAAAGTGAGATTGCGCGTTTCTGGTGGTGCGGAAATAAACAAAATACGGGGAAGCGTTGGTTGCGTGGGGAAAAATGTAAAAAAGGAAGCAGGTCGGTGGATTGGGGAATAGAGGGAGGAAATTATAGTAATGATATTTTAACTTTAATTTAATAAAATTAAAGTAATAGTCATTCAATTAAAAATTCATATTAGTTTTTTAATTTTTCAAAATATGCAGTTATGACTATTTTCATCAACTCCATCAGAATTTTTGTCAAAACAAGTCATGTTGGAAGAATCGTTGCTATAATTTGGTTAAAATTGAAGGATTATTCCTCCAATTGAGTTAAAATTAATAGATTATTTCTCCAATGGGTATAAATTTAAAAGACCATTCTATAATTTTCTCATTCAGCCATACGGGGCATGTGATTCATTTAATAAAAGTTTTAGAGAAGTTGAAGAAAATAACTATAAATGCATATTTTGATGAGTTAAAAGACTAATGATCATAAATTTTAGTCGAGGGAGAAAAACACTGTTACAATTTTCTCATGTTTCAATTTGGCTTCCTTGGTCAAAATTGGATGGAGGATGGTGATGTATCCTAATTCTCTGTTGGCAGGAGTGCTCAAAGAGAAATATTATCCGAACTGGACATTTATGGAAGCGAAACTTGGTAGTATATCCTCGTGGGGCTGGAAGGGTATATATTTCAAGGGAGGAAAATTCTTAAACGGGGGTTATGACGGAGGGTGGGCGATGAGAAAAGTATACGAGTCAAATTAACTCCATACATTATTTTTTTATGAAAAATTACTAATTTACTTTTAAATGTGTATCACATGAAAATAATGTGACTTAACAGATCTTTATAATTCAAGGATTGATTTTTCCGAAAAAATAGTTTAGAAACCTAATTTTCACTGAGGTGATAATTCAGGGATTAAATTGACAATTCATCCAAAACATTTTATTTTTAGGAAATAAAAATTAGAGAACTTGAAATTGAATGAATAAGCCAAGCAAATTCCTCTTCCTCGGTTCGGTTAAAGGTAGAAAAACACACAGAATAGCAGAACAGAACCCACAAAGAATAAAATAAAAACAGACAAGTCTCTAAAGCAGCAAAAGAAAGAGAACGCAGAAAGCCGTCTAAATCCGCTAACTCACTAAAAAAATTCACAAAAGCATGGGTTGAAACTCAACTAAACAGTACATACATTTCTTATCTCGTTTTGGGGCAAAATTTAGGCTAAAGAAATAGTGATGAAAAAGAAATGGGCTTAGGAAATGAATTGCGGCTCGGATATCTTGTCGCGTTTTGGAGCAAAAGCCCATTTCTTTTTCACTCTCCCCCAACAATCTCCACCTGTTCCGCTCCTCAAAACGTTCGTCCCTTCGAAACCCACCAAACACGCGACCGAGATTTTGGGTCTCGCAGCATAACCACTGCAGCTCTCAGGCGAGCTCTAATGTCTGCTGACCTCCGTCGCTTGCACCCTTCTCTCAAGGTACACTATCACTCCTTCAACTCCTCCCGAACCTTAATTACAAGCTCTCAAAGCTTCGATTATTTTACCCAGTTTTTGCCATTTGCTAATAACCCCACTTCCAAATCCTTGTGCTCTGTGAACTCCAATGAAAGGCGCATAGTCACAGTCGGGTTGTCACGGATAATAAAGAACCAACATGGTTATGCTTTGAAGGGTTTTTCCAGACGGTTTTGCCCATTATTTCTTGTAAAAGTTATGAAACTATTAGGTTCTAGGGAAACTGCATTTGGGTTTTTCAAATTAGCCTTTAGAGATGATAGTGAAGGAATTGTGAGGAATTGTTGTATTGCTGCACATTTTTTGGCAGGGGATAATTTGCGGTTTCTAGCTCAGGACGTGCTTTCGTGTGTTATTGCTCGAATCGGGCCAAGTAGGAGTAGAGATTTGGTGGGGTTTATGTGGGCAGGTCATTGTGAGCATGAGTCGGATTTTTCGGTTCTTGATACTCTTATGAGAGGTTTCTTGAATGCCGAAATGGGTTCGGAGGCATTGGAGGTTGTTAGTAGGATGAGGGGGGTGGGCTTGAAGCCGAGTTTGTCAGCAATTGCGATTCTTTTCAGGCTGTTGATTAGAGTTGGTGATTATGGTAGCGTGTGGAAGGTTTTTAGGGATATGCTTCGGAAGGGGCCTCAACCTTGTAATCATACTTTTAATGCGATGATTCTTGGGTTTTGTAGAAAAGGGTTGCTTAGGGTGGGAGAGAGTTTGTTGCATGTGATGTGGAAATTTCAGTGTGATCCGGATGTTATTACATATAACATTGTGATCAATGCAAATTGTGTGAGGGGACAGACAGATGATGCACTTCATTGGGTGCATTTGATGATTGCAAGGGCCTGTAAACCGAGCACCGTTACATTTAGTACTGTCATAAATGCCTTATGTAAGGAGGGAAATATGTTGGAAGCTAGGAAGCTTTTTGATGGGATCCCAGATATGGATGTTTCTCCAAGTGCCACTATATACAATACCATGATGGACGGGTACATTAAAGCAAGGGACATTGGCCAGGCAAACATGATTTATGAAGAAATGAGGAAAAAGGGCGTATCTCCTGATGGCATAACATTTAATATCTTGATTGCAGGGCATTACAAGTACGGAAGGGAAGAGGATAGAGACAGGTTGTTAAAGGATTTATCCGTATCAGGGCTGCTTCCAGATTCTTCATTGTATGACATTGTGGTTTCTGGGTTATGTTGGGCAGGTCTGTTGGATGATGCCATTGAATTTTTAGAGGATATGCTAGGAAAAGGATTACCCCTGACTGTGGTTGCTTTCAACTCAATTATTGCAGCTTGTAGCAGAGTAGGGTTAGAACAAAAGGCCTATAAGACCTATAAGTTTATGATTACGTTTGGTGTAACTCCTTCTACTTCTACATGTAGTTCTTTGCTTATGGGTTTATCCAAGAAGGGGAACCTGCAAGATGCGAGAGAGCTTTTGTGTAAGATGATAGAGAAGGGGTTCCCTATAAAAAAAACTGCTTTCACGGTGCTTTTGGATGGGTACTTTCGAATTGGTGATTTGGATGGTGCTCAAAATTTGTGGAATGAGATGGAAAGAAGAGGGATATGTCCTGATGTTGTTGCCTTCTCAGCATTTATCAATGGACTATGTAAAGCGGGTCTAGTGGAAGAGGCATATGATATATATCTGGATATGACAAGGAAGGGGTTTGTACCAAACAATTTTGTCTATAATTCTTTAATTGGTGGGTTTTGCAGCCGTGGGAAGTTGAGTAATGCACTAAAGTTAGAGAGAGAGATGAGGCAAATGGGGCTTCTTCCGGATATCTTTACCACCAATATGATCATTAATGGATTCTGTAAACAGGGGAGAATGAAGTCAGCAATTGATACATTTATGGACATGTACCGAACTGGGTTAACCCCAGATATAGTCACTTACAATACCTTAATTGGTGGTTATTGTAAAGCATTTGACATGGTCAGAGCAGATGAGTTTTTGTATAAAATGTGTGCCAGTGGATTTGAACCTGATATTACAACCTATAATATACGCATACAGGGTTTTTGTAGCACTCGAAAAATTAGTCGAGCTGTGATGATGCTGGATGAGCTTGTTTCAAGAGGTGTTGTTCCAGACTCAGTCACATACAACACAATGATGAATGGTGCTTGTATTGACATACTGGATCGTGCTATGATTTTAATGGCTAAATTGCTTAAGTTGGCATTTCTTCCGAATACTGTTACAATTAATGTGTTGTTGTCCCAGTTCTGCAAGCAGGGAATGCCTGAGAAGGCCCTCATGTGGGGTCAGAAGTTGAGTGAGTTTTCCATTTGTTTTGACGAAATTACGTATAAATTATTGGACAGAGCCTATCATAATATGCAAGAAGATTCCGAAATTTCAAGTGGAACAGCTGAAAAAAGCCTCTTCCTGGATTTCCTTATGTACATTACATATGATTGTTTATATAGAAATAAACCTTGCAGAGATGCAAGTCAAAATGTTCTTCAATTAATTGAATTTAGCGGCTCCTGAAAGTTGATTAGTTCATCAGTTTTCACTGCAACAGTTTTCACTGCAACTATTATGATCTGGGACATTCTGATGTTATAATGAGTGAACCCTTCTGGCCTCACGTTTGATGCCTCTTGTGACAAGTAGCAACAATCAGTGAGAATCAAGAACCATTTGGCTTGATGTGGCTTCAGGGAAGACTGATCACTGAATGAGGAAAGAAAGGCGAGCAAACCAAAAAAACAGTCACGACAAAGGAGATGGAAGGGAAATTGGGTTGAGGTTATGAGAACGTAGTTAGGCCTGCCAGTTATGCCATGCAGCGCAAATGTTGGATGAAATGCCGTGCATGCCAACTGCTGGAACTGCTCGATGAAATTTATGGAAAAGGTCATAATGTACTGGGCACAGTAGGTTTCAGGTAGGGATTTTCAGCTTTCAACACTAAGGCGAAGCTAATGAAAGAGAATTGCTAACTTCTAGACATAAATGGAAACTGATGTTAACTGTGTCTTAATT